TTAACATTTCGTCTTCTTGTTATTCTTTCTTGGGAAAAAGGTTCTAATTGGCTGTGGCTCCATTAATGTTGGTTTTATACTAGATCAGTTTAGTAGTAATTCTTTAACCTAAAAAGGATTTGTCCAGATTTTATATTATTATCATTTAGGTAGAATTTTTTTATTACATTTTTCCGAAGTAAAAAATACATAGTCTTTACAGACAATCGAAAAATACAAAAGGTAAAGAATAGTAATTCATTCCACATCTCTCTACCCAGAGACATATATTACAAGTGTGTTTTCCTTTTATCTTTTTTCAGTAAGCAGTTTTACAAATTGAGATCTCTCTGGCAAGGGTGACCTTTTTGAAGCTGGTCAAAACCAGTGTGACTTTCTGAGTCTTTTTTACTTATTGGGTGTGGTACTTTGGGCCTCTAAGTGCTGGGTGACCTTTCATACCTTTTTATTACTTTTCTTTAGGGGCAAAACTTTTAAATACAGCTTAATGAGAGATGGCTTGAGTAAGTTTAGAGGTGATCTTTGAGGTAAAAAGCCACTTCTGATGAATGCTGGAACACACATACACTGGTTATTTCAAATGCTGCTGGGGAAAAATCAATGGGAATGAGTCTTACTTAATTTGTTTATTCTAGGCATGACAATAAAACATTGGTAAGAACGAACGAGTAATGGCTGACTAGGTATCTTAACTGATTTGTGAGCTGAAAGTAATGATTTGTGGCATCCTGCTGGAAAAGGTACCTCTCCCAGTGCTTTATTTATTTATTTTGTTTAACATCCCTTTTAACTTGGTCTGAGATTGATTGAGACATTTTTTTGGACCTTGGAAGCTGTGAGCCATATTGGAATGACAAACACTTGTTGACAGCTTTGAGAAGATGGATGGAAAAATAAACTCTGACAAGGTTCACATGTTTGTTTTTCTATTGAGTCTTTAGAAAGAATGCTGCTGTCATTATTTAGCATAGAGAAAGAAAAAGTTGCACCTTATTATCAAATTCAATATTTTCTGAGCCTGACTTACAAACATCTCTAGAATATATTTACTTTTTGCATAGGGTATAATTAATCAAAGTAGGAACAAAAAGTTTATCACTTGGGCCAAGTTATATTTCTATTCACTTTAGATATCTGTGTCAATTTAGCTCATAAAATCCAGTAATATTATAAGTGTATGTTGGCTATTAGAAGGAATAATACAGATATTTTATATCTGAGCATCATCTCTTTGGTACTAATAATTATCTACTAATACAAAAACATGTATAATAGAAAAGCAAAACTCTGATAATAAATGTCTGATAACTATCCATTGGTATAATAGTGCTCTATTTCTTAATCATGTAACTACAAGGGGAGAAACATGATCCATTTACTATTCTATTAAATACACAGAACTATTAAATTGATTCTTAGACTGATTATGAGAAAAATAGATTAATATAATTATATGTTTATATTAATGCCTTTCAGATACTTCAACTAGGAATACTCTTTGTAGTTAGGCAAGTTATTTTATAGGTATGACATGTATGAAATGAAATGATTTGAGGTTGTCAGCTTTACAGTAAGTTATAAATAATTTTACTACATTAGTCTGCCTGACATTTTCTTACTTTCTTCTGGTAATAAAAATTTTCTTTCTTATAGAGAAAATAATGTGGTTTGAGTGGGATACTGTGTCATATTGTCTTTCCACCAACACCCCTCCCATGCTCACAGGGTAGTCACATATTCCCCTAGCCATGATGATTTATGGCCCTGATGGTTCTGGACTTTTCTTTTGGAGCTATCAGGAACTAAACTTTCTGCTAGGATTGCCCTGGGGCTGACAGTGCCATTTTGCCTGCTTCATGGAAAGAGCCTGCGTGCAGGAATACAGCAAGCAGATTTGAAATGGAAGGAGCCAGAATCTTGACAGCACATTTGATACTGAATCCAGTAATTTCTAAAAGCAGGTGCAACTCTGTTGTAAGACATAAAGCCTCATTTTTCTCTGAGCTAGTTTGAGGGGTTGTTTGTTTGTTTGTTTGTTTGTTTTTTACCATTTGCAACCCAAGAGCCTAAGTGATTTCTGGAGAGCAAGAAATGTGAAGGAATATTTGACTGATTAGAAGGAAGATGGTTAGGTAGTGAACCTGAATATAAAAGGGGAAAATTTAAATGAGCAGAATTCGAAAAGATTGATAGATTTTTATGAGAAAAGAGACTGAGAGAAAAACTTCTTTTGAAAGTGTAATATAGACAGAAAATAAGTTGTTTTGCTGAAGGAAAAGGCACGGTATTTACTTCTGTGCAATACATTGCTCAAACGTTTGAAATTTTACAGTCTTCTGTATTAGGATGTCCAAGGCAAGAGATACAGACCTATACAGGGTTGACTTAAGCTAGAAAGTGCAGAGGTAGAGCCATGGATATAACTTGACCCAAGGAATCAATATTGGATCTCTCTTCCACTTCCCTTGTATCCTGTTCCCTGGCCACAGGCAAACTAAGAGCAAGGAGGGCATATTTTCCTGGGCTTTGGTTTGTAAAGCCCCATGGAAGGACTCTCAGTGGCCCAGTTTGAATCAGATATCCATTTCATAAACCAGTTACTGTGTCCCAGACTGGAGGGTGGGGTAGAGGTGGTGGGTAAGGTTTTAGGCTATATGGCCATCTGGGACCCAATGAACAGAGCCTTCTAAAAGGAGGCAGACTGAGCACAAGCCTAGCTCCTGAATCAGTGTGGCTTGAGTAACTGTCCAAATTGTGTTCACTACAACATTTTACTTCTGATGGTATTTGAAGTAGTGAGGAAGTATCAAAAAGGGGCAGAACAGTGTATTCTAAGGGTTAGTAATACTGCACTTATATTTTATTTTCAACAAAAATAAAAGTTTTATTTTACTGCAGAAGTAGTTGGATGCAACTAAAATGATATTATGGGAAAAAATATTATAAAACACAGGAAAAAAATGTGAATAGACTAAAGCCAGCTATAGGTTCTAAAGTATTTAAATTTCTCATCTAAATATACTATGCTTTATGTTTTGGAAATGTGGTTTAAATATCTAAACCAAAGCAGTAAACCTAACTGAAAAGCATTACAGAAAATACTTTGAAAACAGAATAAAGTAGCATGATGAGCTCTGATCCTAGTGCTAGGAAGAATTTTTGAGCCCTCACTGAAATGAACCATAAGTCTTGGTTAGCATGGTATTTCTACCCAGATGTTACTTATCCTGATAAATTTAAGCATTCCTGGGAGTCAGAAGCTGCTGCCAAGTTATGGCACCCTGGAGTTCAATTGCCATGTTCTAGACCTCAGTTCCCATCCTTTGATGGCTGATTTGCCAGAAATGTAGAAAAAAATAATGTTTTTTTCCATCCAGATGAAATGATTCATTAGAATTCCCGAACTAGGAATTCACATGCACATATACCTGTACATACACGCAGACTTGAGAACTGCCAAGATGTTATTTATACAAGAGTTTCTGTGCTAAATTAGATAATGCCTTACCAGCATTTAAATAATATGATTTGTAATTGAAATCCTCATTAGTCCTGTGAAATTAAAACTAATAGGTCATGAAGGAAATATTATTTTAAATACCTATAGAATATGTTTGAATATTGGGAAAGGGAGGGAATATGAACAGACAGAACATTTTAATTACATGTAACTTGAACTAACTCCATAAAGAATACAGATTCTTATGGGCAAAGAATTTTTTAACACTCAAATTATGTGTTATTTTTAAATGAATGTAATGCAGTCTGCAAATATATGTATTTTTTGCATTGATGGTTTATTTAATAAATCATTTACTGAATGTCCATTTGCATAGATAGCTCTCTTTAACATTATAAATTCACAAATCTCAGGAAGCTTGCCATTTAGATCATTAGATAAGATGAACATATTGGAAAGTTAAATACTTTTAAATAATGGCACTATTGAAAGTAATAAAGAAGAAGGCTATCACTTACAGTTTGGTCAGAATGTTAGAACCACTATGAGTGGTATAGGGGTGTATTATAAGGTTTAGGTCTGGTGAGATCCTGGAGTTAGGGGGTCTCTGCAATGTTGTTGAACCTATACCTGGTACTGGCCTGTTGTAAGCAGAGCCATCGGTCAGGAAAGTAGAGGAAAGTAAGAGCAATCCGCAATCTGCAGGGATAAACTGAAAACAAACTCATGAGAACAAACTGGGACATATGTCTGTTTCTCACTCTTTGAAGCCTGCAATTTTTGATGCGAGTGACCTGCAGAAGAGCTGGTGCACTTTGCCATGGAGCAGCACATAGATTTGGCCTAAGATTATGAGAAGTAGATGAACATGGGGGTCTGCTGAAGCCCAAGGAGATCTGTCAGGAGTTGGAAAAGGTTCAGGCTCAGTGATGCTCCAGGCCAGCAAGGCAAACCAACAGATCCACAATTATGCGTGCACTGCAATAGTGTCTGGCCTTTCACTAACTTTCAAGCATAAACATTGTTGTCTGTTCATTTCCACCTTCTAAATCTCATGCAAGATTCTCTTGTAGCTATTCTTAACTTACAACTATGCAGAAAAGGTAGTTTCGGGTTAGCTAAATTGGCTTAGCATGGCCATCACAGTTCACCCCCATCAGCTTGGCACTCAGATACATCTGTCAGTCATATTTAACTTCCAAATAAAGCAATAGCAAAACTATATTTATGTTAAACATGATGAGACTATCTCTCTTACAACCTGAAACAGTGTCTTTGAAGAATGCAAATGTGTATTTAACAAGTGGTTTTCAAAGTGGATAAAAGTGGAACTGCGTATTCCTAACAATTAATGCATTTCATTTTTAAAATGCATCTTTTGCAGGAAATTTTCCTCTAAAGAGTACCAAGAGCATTAATTTGTACTATCAAAATTAAAATGTAATTTATTGTGGAAAAATTTGTAGAACTAAAGCAGAAGAAAAGAATTGTTTCACTTTATATTTAATGTTTTTCTGTCTTTTTCTCAACCTTTTTTCAGTTTTTTGAGGTGCCATTTGATTCAAACATGAATAGGACAAAGAACAGACCTCTGGTTCGTGGACAGATCAGGTAAAATCATGAATATAAGTCTCTTTCACTTTATAGAACATTCATTTGCTTGTTCTTCGCGAATCATTTCTCAGTCGTTTGCCCTGAGTTGTAAAGTGAAAATAACACACCCCAAAAGGGACATACTGGTTTCTCTAAACCAGTACTTTTCAATTCTAACAGTACTTTTCAGTTCTAACCAAAATATACTACAGAGAACTTAAAATGGATCTAATATTTGCAGTTTTGTTTTGGGAGTAGTAACTCATGTGATAACATTTCTCATTCAGTTCAATTTTGAGACATGGACTGGTTTCACTTGTAGTAGCTGAAGTAAAAATATACCATTAACACAAATTCCAAACAAATCCATATAGGAGCTCAGAAGAAAGTTATGTCTGAAGCTTTTTTTTTTTTTTTTCAGATAAACTGATAATGCTGTTATATGCCAAGTAAATTACTGCCTCCATTACTCTTCTTTCTACCACATTCAATTAAGTAGAACTAAAAGGCATGTAAATATTTTAATATCACTAATGGTTAATAATTAAACATTTTACTTCCTGGAGACCTCAAAACCAGCATTTAAAATAATTTTTTGTCATCCAATAGATATCATAAGCTGAGAAGAATAAAAAAATGGTTTATACTGACTATTCTAAATCAGTGAATCCTCTCTTCATATTTCCAGGCAATGCCTTCATGGAGCTTAAAATTTATTGGGGCAACACTCGTGGATCAAATAATCACATATATTAACTAAAACAATAAAGGAAGCAAATGCAGATATAGTCAATAAGTAAGTCTATGTAAAAAATGTTTTTTAATACTGTTTTTAGCCATTTCATTTTTAAATTAATTTAAAATACCATTGTTTTGAAAAGGGCAACAGAGCCAGATGAAAATATATGAGAACAAAAATCTCATATCTACTATTTTATTTCTTTTTTTGAAATATAAAGCTCTCTGCTGTGTTTATGTTTAGAAAATGTCAGAGTACTTTTATTTGAGTAAAGTTGTTTTAGAGGGGAGAATGCAAACTCTGTAACCCATCTCAAAAGCTGAAAGCTGCTCTTGTCAGATCTCGGGTAGGTTCTTACTTATTTGGAAATTCTGTCCAGTTGTTTTTCCTCAGTGAAATCATACTTTCCTTTACAACTAAGAGAAATATGGGTCAAGAGTCATTAGGCAGATAGTGGCAATCAGAGAAAAGCCCGTCATTCTACTAATAGCTTATCTTACTTTACCCAGTGTGGTTACTTCCTGCACCCTGGAAAGCAAAGTCTGTCAGTGCTTCCAGGATGGAGCATCATGGCTTCGGTCGTTGGTATTAACAGTGCCCTTCCTTTAAAGGAGACAGGCTACAGTACAATTATTAGTCTTGTTAAAATTGCAACTTCATCTCTTGTTTACAAGATGACCTAGGCAGAATCTCATTTATAATAACCTTAATTGCTATTTTAGAGAGCAAAGTAAAGGCCTGAAAAAAGTAGATTCAAACTTATTTTTATATCTAGGATATATTTTACTAAATAGGTACAAGGAGGTATTATAAGCTTGGAGCAGAAATCTTGCATTGAGAAGCATAATTTTAAAACTGAAGACTTTATGTCCTGTCAGTTACTGTTTATTATATATAACACGGTAAATTATTATTTACTAAACATATTTTATGAGTGGGTGGTCGTAGGGTATAGTAGAAAGTCTTATAGACTACCCATTAACATTTATTTCTCAGCCGTAGTGGTTCTCACATTTATAACAGCTATTGGATATTTTAGTACAAAGTATGGCCAGTTTATTTTGAAATTCTCTTTTTGGTATTTACTACCCCATTCGATTTGGGCTGCTATGCCTTGTTGAATCTATACAGCTTTATAGACTTCATTTACAATTTGGCATGTAAGTGTGAGGCCCTGTCATTGTAGATGGGCAGCAGTATGGTAAGTCTGGGAAAGAAATCCTTGAAAGTCTTTTACTGATGACAGCTGTTTCAGCCTTTTTACATAGTATGCTTTCTATCTATTTTAAAGATATTCTATAAACATTTATGGAGAAAATATATTTCGTTAACTTTTTCAAGTGATTATAATTTATTTTGAAAAATTTTATTTATCTAAGGAGATAAAGTAATATGGTAATGCTTAAGGAAAGAAAGATATGCCTGGACTAGTTGTTCTGTGATACCTTCAGGATGTGGGGAAATACCTGAAAGGAGCCCTTTGCTTGTGCAGACCTGTCAGGCCACATCCGTTCTCTGTGCTTTTAGTCCTGTCTTCGAGAAAAACGTCTGAATTGGTTGGGCACTGAATACCTTACAGAGCTAACACAGAAGATAGTGCTTTTTTGTTTGCTTATTTAATTTAAATGTATTCCAGAGTGGAGGTATCATAAGACTATCATAGTTAAATAGAGAAATAGTTAATGAAAGTCAGGGTTATGAAAAATAAAATCTGGGATAAATAATAAGATCACAAGAAAAATTTATCAAATCACATAGTTAACAAGGTCGAACTATAAATTTCATTCTACATTTCCTGGTGAAATCATAGTTACATCATACTGATAAGCATGAGATAGATGCTATTAAATTCCTCCCAATGCCTAGGTGAGAAAACAGAGAATCCAAGTATTATGAATAAGTGGAAGAACAAAACTTTAGCCTTGTCCATTTGACTCCGCACTCCTAGTTCCTAATGACTTCACATAACCGTCTCTAAAAGTCTCTGTACATGAAAAGAAAATACCACTCAAGAGAGACCAACTTCTGCCTCTTAGTTCTTAAAAATAAGAAAGGGCACTTGGTGATGATTATTAGAAGAATGTCCTCAATGACATCTGCACAGGAAGCAAATAACAAATTTCTAAGTTGTCTCTCTGGGCGAGCCAGAGACAAAATACCAAAGAACAAACAGCTCCTAGTGAGAACCATTTAGACTGTGTGGACTTGAAGCATTTGGGAAATAGGAAGTTCTTGGCCAGACATAATAGCCCAAGGATGCACCTCTAGCAGTTTAGCTTGTTCTCGTTAAACTGAGACAGTGAAAGGAAGAGAGGAGAAGGTTATGTGTGTGTCGAGTGATGGCTAGGATCAAAGAGATCACGTAGGGCAAGTGCTCTGCCACATGATATGATTGGAAAGTAAGTGAGCTCAAGGTCTAGTGGCTGTTACTCATGTTTCCCCAGGACAGTTCTGGTTTACACCTGTTGTCCCAGCAGAATTCTTAATAGTGTCCTTCTCCACAATGTCCAGTTTATGCCATCTGATAAAAAGAGAATGATGCTGATGATTATGATGTTCACAGAATTTCCGTAGTTTTAGACTATTTCATACATAATTGCCCAGAAGAAGTAAAAAAAAAAACAAAACACCTAAATGGAAAGTATAATGTATCTAAATCAGTTTGTAGGTAGATACCGTAATATAAACTTCTTTAAATATCTTCTTAAAAATAACATTTAATATCTTCATGTCTTCTTATAAATTGGAAAAGATGAATGAAGTCAACTGTTTAGTTTGCCAAAATGTCATGGCTCTGAATGATTGTTTTGAGAAGGGAGTTGGGTTTAGAGCTCCCTTTTATTCTCTAGCAACATACCTTAGAATTTGCATGTCACATATCAGGAGCTCACATTGAAGGGTGAGTAAACCCACTTAAGAAGTCGAATCCGCAAACTCAAAGTCATGTAATGAAGGTAAATATCAGAGAAGTTTACCTTCTTAACAGTCATATTTCAGTGTAATCCAGTTTTAACTTGGTGACTAGAAAAAGTAAATTAGCAATTTAAAAAATTTTTTTATAATAGAAAACATCTCAGTCTTCAGATATTCTTATGGTAATCATTGTCTAGCGAAAAATGTTATCTGATTCTGAGCTTAGGCAAGTCCTTGAGTTAATCTTTCCATAACACTACTTTCTCACATGTAAGAATCATAATTCCAAACCTTTTTATCTCATAACGTTGTAGGGATAACAGTAAAATCAGATGTAAGTAAAAGTTTATTGTTGGGGAGCAGGTTTAAAACTAGAGTTGTTTGCAGAACTTTCATCTGTTTTCAAAATTTGCTTCAAAATAAATATTTCAATACTTATTAGGCAATAAAATAAAAAATGAAATTCAGATTAGTTTCAAGGGCTGGGCAAAAGGAAGCAAAACACGGCAAATAAGAGAACTTAGAAAGTGAAAGTTACATGTTTCCATTATCATGCTTTAGTTGGTACAACCACTCAGTGGAAAGTAGGCAGATGTAGGATCTAAATCCTTCGTTCATATTATCATCATCAGGACATGTTTATGGAGAATGTTGTCCCTGTAGAGAAGTATGCTAGTTGCTAAGGTTACAAAAAGGGAAATGACATGGTCTTCATTCTCTTAAAATAACATTGAGGAGATGGCAACAGACATGCATAAGGACACTAAATGCAGGAAAGGTATAGTTCACTCAACAAATATATTTTTTAATGTGCTTACCAGCCAGGCCCTGTGCTAGATACCAGAGGTGCGGTGGTAAATACAAATTTAAGGCCATGCCTGAGTGATGTGGGAATGCAAAGAGTTAGAACTTAACTCAAACTGAGGAGGTCAAGGATGACTTCTCAGAGAGAATGAAGTCTTGAAGCTGAGAACCAATGAATAAGAACTGTGCCAGTCTGCCTATTCCTTGCCAAACTCTTCTTTCTGTTCTTCCTCCTCTGCTAGCTCCTTTGTTGGTGGCCATTAGCCTCCTTGTCATGTTACTCTTCTACAGATACTGCACTCTACACTGTCTACCTCTATCCCAGATCTCTCTTTTGAGCTTGGACTCTTTATAAAGCTCTTTTGGGATGCCCTTCTAGACATCTCAGATTCCATAAGTATATATCCCAATTCATCATTTTCTCTCTCAAATTGTCTTTTTCGTTGTATACTTGTTCGTTTACATTATAAAGTCAGTCACCTGTAAATCATTCTAGACTTTTTTTTTTTTCATTTGTCTGCTTCATCTTTATCCAACAAATCGTGTCTTTTCAGCCACCTAA